CCCAATCTTCCTCTATTTTCCTCTTTCTTCTTTCCCTCTCCTTTCCTCTCTTCTCCTCTTAAAAAGAAGCATTGTTAACTAGGGAAAGTTAAACACTATTTGTGAGTACCGTATTTTCACGACCATAAGCCGCACCGGGTTATAAGCCGCACTGCCGGTTTTTAATCAAATTTTAGGATTTTCAGTGCGGCTTATAGTCGTGAAAATACGGTACTTCTTTTTAGTTGAAGAAGCTTTTCACTTAATTCAGAATAAAATTCCAAGATTATGACAGCTATATTAAAAGTTATGGTTCATTTTTTCCTAATTATTACTTTTTGGAGGGCAAAGTAGTCTGTTAAATACATACATGTTTTGCCCCATTGCAAGCACACTTGAGAATTCTTAGGAAGGATTGTCTAAATAATTAAAACAAAATGGTGTAGATAGACTATGGTAGTGAGATTCTGCTTTTCTGTTGTTTTAAGTAAATGTAATGATGAAATTAACCTTGTGGTATTTTTTTTTAATCAGGAATTTTATCCATAGAACAACTCATCAGTAGGGTGGGAGTGATTGGGGTGACCCTCATGGCCTTGCTCTCTGGCTTTGGTGCAGTGAATTGTCCATATACCTATATGTCTTATTTTCTCAGGTAATCTTTCATCAAAAGAGATTCAAAGTAGTTTTAAAATCTGTCTGTCTCTCTCTCTTTTCCCTTTATGTCTATCTGTCTGTCTCTATGTCTATCATCTATCATGTCATTTTAATCTTTATTCTTGTTGATCTATTCTTCTGCTTTCAGGCCAGATTTCTCCATAATTGTCCCTATCTTCTTTACCTCAATAATACAGGTTCTAGATTTAAATATATCATTGTTTTGCATCATCATCAATTTGCAGTTTTGTTATAGTCCAGTTAGTGGAGAAGAATCAGAGAATAGCTAGAATTGCAAAGAGACTGTTTTAGAAATCATAGGAATAATTCTAGATGTATATATCTATTATAGGAATGTCACAGATGCTGATATTCTATCTCTAGAACGTCGACTCCTCCAGACAATGGACATGATCATCAGCAAAAAGAAAAGGTAAGTTAAAGATATTAGAGCATATTAAACAAGAAATTATTTGCTATTGAACAATAATTTATATAGAAGATAGCGATTCAAGCGGGATGAAATTTGAGTGAAATACAGATCCAAATTTTATCTCAATTTGTGTACTTGGTATACTTATCTGGGACTAATATTATGTTTAGAATTTAAAATTAATGTAAGATTTATAATATAGTATTAAACCTCAGTTAAACTGTGTTACTTAATATAATACATTTTTAAGAACAATATGGATCTTCTCTGGACTAATACTTTAAAAAGTTTCAACCCTCTTCATTACCAGCTAGCAAGGTTAAAGGTTAGATCTAATTTAAGAATAATTCATTAGAATATCCCTGATTTAAATGAATCATTTCCAGTAATGAGCATGTAGATGTAATTCATAGAATTTAATGTAGTTTATTATTAATTGGAAACACATTTTACTTTCACATAATAGCATGAGCAGTCGCATAGTTCTATACCAAATGGAAATCATAATACCTGTTTGATTTCTTTCTGAATGGAATTCTGAATGTTCCTTTAAATTTTGAATGCTAGATTTTATGAAACATAAAAATGCAAATATTTAAAGATTAGCTTAGTTCTATTATGTAATTTTACTCTAGTTGATATTTCATGATTTTACATTCCTAACTTTGCCTCCCAAACAGGATAGCAATGGTTCACAGAAACATGTTCCAGAGAGGGGAAGTACACAACAAAACCACTGGTTTCTGGGGAATTATAAAAAGTGTCACAACATCTTCACCAGGCAGTGAAAGTATCCTTTACTTGCAGAAGGAGACTCAAAAGTCAGCTTGCTTCCTTTTACAATTAAAAAAAATAGAGTGTTTTATTAATGGACTGTAGTACGTAAATGACCTTATTTTCAGCTTTTGGAGATCATATACTTGAAGAGAACTATATCAATCCAAATTTGTAAGCGTTAAGCACTGACAGCTAATCTGCTAGGACACTTTCATGGCCACTTGGACATTAAGTAATAATTTATATAACTGACAGCATGCAAAAATAGAAAGTCAATTAATCCCACAAAAGGGATTTACAATCCAGTTTAGAAATTCTTATGGGCCTTTCCCTGCAGTCACGTGACTGCATTTAGGATGCTCAGTAATTGGCCCATATTTAGGTTCATTTGGAGTGCACTGTAGTCATGTGACTGCCATTTAACTGTTTAGCTGAAAAACTGGCATTTACTTCCGGTTTCCAGGCAAAAATAGCCCATTGTGAACAGTGGTTTCATTTAACCACTTTGTATGCTTAACATCTGGAGCAAAAGTCATTAAAGTGGTTCTGGTCACACGGTGATTGGGAATTTTCTGTTTCCTAATGAAAGGCATAAGGTACTAATAAAGTTGCCATAGATTTTTTTTTAAATTAGATGTTTAAATAATAACATCCCCCATAGTCATTCTTCCTGTGTCATTTGGGAACTTCAAATTAAAGCCAATGTATAAAATGCCTGGGGATAAAATATCTGCTGCAATATGAATACCATGTGGACTTCCCTAGGAAGGTACTGCAGAGTGGTACTTAATAACTAAGAAAGAACTTTTATTTTCTTTATAGTCACTTGTAGCCAGCTGTTTAACTTTATTGTTCAAAAGAAATGATGCAAATCAAGCAGATATGTATATATAGAAAGAGACTTTCTTTTAAACATTCTTATTTCAACATGAGCTGTGATGGAGCAGTAGTTAGAATACAGCACTGCAAGCTACGGTACTTCTGCTGACTGCCAGCTGCCTGCAGTTTGGCAGTTGGAGTTTCACTGGCTCAAGGTTGACTCAGCCTTCCATCCTTCTGAGGTTGGTAAAATGAGGATCCAGGTTGTTGGCGGCAATATGTTGATTCTGGAAACCGCTTAGAGACGGCTGTGAAGAACTGAAGCGGTATATAAGTCTAAGTGCTATTGCTAAATTGCTATTTCAGGACATTAAATGGCTGCCATACTTTAAATAATAGCCTGAAATTAACTATCTGCTATATTGTTCACGTGATTTCTTTAATTTAGTAATGTGGCAATTATTTTGGATACGTTTCAATTTACTGGTCTTCATCCAGGCAAAAAATAAAAATGTTATTTTAGTATCCGTTCCCTGGATAATCTTTTCTGGTTATTTCAGGTATGCATTAAATAAAATCAGGGATTGAATGAAACCCCTACTTATTTTTGTAGTAATTATTCCCTTACAATGTTTTCTGGCAACAGCCTATCAAATAGGAACATAATCACTATATAATAAAACTCCTATTCAAAAGCTTATTCCATAAGGATACCATAGCCAATTGTTTCAAAAGGTAATTAGAAAGCTAGGAAATCAGCAAGATTGCATTATCCTGTTTCCTATTGCTCAGGAAAGATCATTCTGTAGCATGATTGAGGTAAGATCTGACCCAATTTGGATGCTTACTCAAATTGAAATGGATCTAGAAAATCATCTGCGTTTCAAAGTATCTGTATTAAGTCTGCAAATAAGTATTTGTATTTGTATTTGTATTTGTTTATTATTTATAGGCCGCCCTTTTCCCTGAGGGGACTCAGGGCGGCTCACAATTTATGGGGAGGGGAATAACTATTATACATAACTATTGTATTATATGTAATGCATAAAATATGTAAACATAGGCAATTTATGTGTATGTGTGTGTGTGTGCATGTGTGTCACAGCTGAATTTTTTAAAGAAAAGACTGGTATAATTGTAATTTCTCTGAGCATGTACAAAGTGTCTCTTTCCCCCCCCCCCCCCCTCT